TCCGTCAGTCGGACGGACGGACTGACGGACCCCCCCCAAAACGAAAACTCTTCGGTTCTCCACGAATTACACAAGTCACCCAAATCAGCGTTAAAAAAGCGGGAAGCGCCGAAAAGCGACTAATTTGCATATGATTGCAGGGCTATGTTATTGCATTACAATAGACTCAGAGTTCCTGTTATTCTGTACAATGCGTGTCAATGAATTATGTATGCACAGTGAGTAGCAGTACTTTAGTGAGCTTCAAAAGAAATGAGGAACAGAGTGTCTCATTGATCTGAAGGGTATTTGAATAACACAGCTCTACACTACCTGTCCCTGGAAGAGTCCGGCATCTTGTACAGTGCTGTCCGGCTTATTCAGCTGCTCGTAGGTGTTGCTCATGTATTTGTTCCAGAGCCGTGTCTCCTTCTCCGATGGGATATTGAAAAGCGTCCTCATATCCTTCTCTATGGTATCTGAACAAATATATATTATTATTATTATCTTGCCATGCTTTCAGTGTGTAGGAAGCCATCTATTTAGTCATTTTTAAGGCCAAGTTAAATACAGAGAACAATGTGGCGCCTTACCTATAGTATCAGCTTTACTGAAATGACGTGTAACAACATTGTCCATGTTGTCATTCTCACACAAGTTCAGCTCCAGCAAATAGACTTCCACTTTACAGTGCTTGACAAACATGCCATGTTCAACAACCTGGAGCAGAAAGGAGACATTTAGGAGCCCATTCTGAATGGTCAAAATAAACAAAGTAAAAATGACAACAGCGTTACCTTCCTGACGATGGGTCTCTGGCACTCAAGGCAGCTGTACCAGCTCACAAGCTTATTCCATGCTTCAGTGGGTACAAGGACATAGTCCAGCTCATCTATGAGGTGCTCTTTCAGGGACTGAGTCTCCTGGTCTATAAGGAAAAAAAATGATGACAACAGGAAGAAATACAACTCCTATAATCTTTATGTGGGATTTGTGATTTCGTCAAGAGCAAGCAAAGCAACATGAATGTAAGTTTAAAGTTTACCTGAAAAGAGCCCAGAGTTATCAATTGGTCCTGGAAAGAGGCTACGTTCTCCAACATTGTACATGTCCCAGTTGTCAAATCCAACGTACTTCTTCCATTGTTTGAACCACCGGCTGTCGATTAGATACCTAAAACAAACAAGTTGATAACAATGCATTACAAACATTTCTAATTTGCAAAGACACCTAATTTCTTCTGAAGTCTTTGAGACTTATACTTTATAAAGCATTTGTTGGTCATCATATTTTTTTATATCAAGCAAGGACAGAAAGGGGTCAAAATATGATACAATGCATGAGACATTGTACTCTGTCTTCACCAACCCAGAACATTATGTAACAACAAACTGCCTTGGCATTTGCAGATATAGTAACAGCAAGCTAGTTTGACTTAATCTCCTCCCAAGCAAGAATCTCCTTTAGTTAATAGGCTTGTTAGAAAGCATTCACATAGTAAGCCGTTGAGTCATGGCTTTTTTTCCTTACTACTGTCAGAATTAGTACAACAGCTTCAAAAACGAAGAGCCTCCAAATGTGATCTTTCTTTGCCCTTTAACCTAAGGTTATTTGTTCTGAGCTATGCAACAGAGATACATCAACATCATACAATCATGCTCGTGTAAAATCACACATTTCAGCTTAAATGCCATGGGATAGTTGTTTATTTTTAAATAAGTCACAGGGCCATGAGACACTACATATAGGCAATCACTGATACATCAACAACCTTGTGTTATGGTCACTGAGTAGCTAGTAGCTGACAGATATAAAACAAGTGGTTCTTCCTTTGGTGTCCATTTATATCAACAAAGAAGACAATTTAAATTCTCGCTGAAGCCTGTTTAATATACCAAACTCCCGTCGCCCAGGCCTGGCTGATCTTTATGACATTAAACAATGTTAGCTAACACAGGCAGCAGGACGCTAAAGAAACCTTTCAGACAACTTCAACAGGCAGGTGAATACAAGCAGATAATGACATCGCAAAAATATTCCTGCCAACAGGCCCATTTCCTGATCACTAATGTTATTTATCTAGCAACGAGCCGAATGGCAGGATATTCCACCATCTGAATCCAGGGCCTGTTCTATCAGGGGAGTAGCCACCAAATCAGCCAACGTCACCTAACTTGTCACAAATGAGATATTAACGTCCCAGTACTCAACACATGAGCCGCGCAGCTAGCAATGTTAGTTTCATTGTTTACGACCAACGTAACTAGTTGTTACTGCATGCTCCACTCTCAACAGATACATTGGAAAGTCGGACTGGCTAACAACTAGCGTGCTAACTTGTTAACATTAGCTGGCCAAAATACAGCTCATCAGCTTTCGATTTCCGACTTAAAACCATTGGTAGCGTTAGCTTGCTAGCTTTAGCATCTTAGCGTTTCCTGTTTCTCACAAGCTAACGCTAGCTAGCTACGGCTAACAGAAACACCCTGGTAACGTTCGCCGCTGCAGATTCTTACCATTCGTCACCCTTTCTCAGAGTTGTTTTCAAGAGTGACCCAATAGTCTGTTTTTGATTTTCGGTTGAAGGGGTTGGCATTTGTGCTGCTACCGGCTCCGAGTCAGAATCTGCCGCGCCACCCGGCTCGGGTCCTCCTCCCTCGGCCATCATGCAGTGAGTGTGCCGGTATCGTGAACGCGCGGATGGAAGAGGCGCACTGACTGGGGCGAGCTTCAGAGCGCTGCTCATGGGAAACGCTCTTCCTCTACGGCCAGTACGAGCAGAGCTGTAGCAATCCAGTATAACTGCTCTGCAAACCAGTCAGTCATAGGATTGTTAAACGCTAAATGGCATCTAAGTGCTTTAGATCAAGTGCACCAAAAGTGCTACTAAAAAAAACATCCGTGTATTGTTATGACCTCAAATGTCTTCTGAAACATCAACAAACTTCATCACTGACTTCACCGACGAGACGTTATTGCTCCATAGAAGAATGACACATTAGTCAAATTACTCGTTTGCATTGTAATGGTATTTCTTGTGTTGGCTTCATTAAAACAAAGAAAACAAGGTATTTTGTCAAAACAGGCTTTATGTTGTACAAAACACAGGAGTTACATAACAAAATAAACCATCTAAATAGTTCAAAAACATAATTCCAATCACACAAACATTCTCAGCCAACAGCAAATCAATTTCTGAGTCTACTTCCAACTTTAGGCAAATGACGCAGACCAGCTGATCTATGATCTAACAAAAATAATTATTAAAGGTAGTTAAAGAATAATTAAATAAACATCATTCAGACCTGTTAAATGTGTTCTATTGTTTAACATGATGATAGATATGAGAATTGGAACAGCTAGTCTAGCTGTGGATGTAATAAAATAAAAAAAATCACTAGGTAGTTCACATTCTATAACCTAATGGCCTACAGATACTAGCTTATAATAATGCATTAAAAAAGCAAAACGTGTTTTTTGATCCTCCCAAACATTTTCTTGTCTCAAAAGAGATGAGGCAGCAGCAGAACCAGTGTATTGTTAAGATATTTCAGATATTCTATTAACAGTAATGGAAAGGAAATAGGACTACAAATCAGTGAATGTAAACTTTGCATAACATGAAGGGATTTGTCCCGTCTCTGTGGCTCTAACCAAAAACAAATCCCTGCAATAATCAAAATTCCAATTGAAGGCTCCAAATAGAAGTGACCAGGCCATCAGAAGATACCGCATGGCAGCTCCTTGCTAAACAAGCCATCAAAGTCCAACTCTCTGCTCATCAGATCCTCCTCTACACTCTCCAGTGCCCACTGATGATCCGTCAGTTCCAGTGCCTCCCACTCACCCTGTAATTAAGTACAGACACCACATTAATAACCAAGCAAAGCTCAACCATATTAATTATGCTGAAACTACAGGATATACCTTGAAAGCTTTATTTGTATCAGCAGGCATTGCCATGGCAGCACCACTCATCTGCTCCTGCATGATCCTTGACTGGTCTGCACCTGTAGGGATTGCATTGAGAAGGAATTACAGAAAATACCAACTTTAATCATCAGTGTGAATTGTGTGAACTATAACTGTCCAGGAAACATCTTCAGACATTTTGAATGACACTTTAATTGTATGTTTTGAAATAAATATTGTTATACATTAAATAACTGCTTGTATGGTGACAAATACGGTTGAACCTTCTGACCACAGAACAAGTAGAATTAACGATTTCATGTTACTTTCAAAGCATATGAAGTAGAAAATATTGCAAATTATCTTAAAATGAGCTGCATTTACCATTATCTTGACCCAGAATTAAAGAGTACATGCTTCGTAGTCCAAACACGTTCAGGAAGTACCATGAAGCCGAGCTCACCCTAGATGATAAAGACACACAGACACAACAAATGATAAAAAGGTCACATAACATCTCAAGCATTTTAAGAGTAGTTTAAAAAGGATACAGTAAATGTCTACAGATCATATTTTATTGGTTTACCAGGAGGCATCCAGTGAGAGCAGCTCTACTCCTTGCTGCAGCATGGGCTTGAACCGAAGAGTGAGAGGGAAGGGAACCTTAGCTGAAAATGAAATAGATTACAGAAGAAACTCAATGTGGTATGTCCATGTCAACAATATGCAATCAGGTAGCAAGACAAATTTAAAGTTGTCTTTTGCGAGGGTCACATTCTGCATCACAAGCAGCAACATCTGAGAGAATGACATAATTACTTGTAACAAATCCTGAAAAGGTCCAGTTGATCCAGCCTCCAATGAGAATCATGGGAAGCACATTGGTGACGTTTCCTTTCATCATATCTGTCAGCATACTGGGATCTGTGAAACGATACAGCATGAAACAAGAAACGCAACATTTAAGTCTTGCTAAGGACTGTTTTTTGTATAATATATATACAATTGTTTGGCTTTATTATGTGGATTGCAACATTTAAAATAGCACAATCATATTCTGTGTAAGTGTGTATTGGTAAATACTTTATAGGATTACCTGTCATTGGTGAGGGTGGAACAACCTTTCTTTTGGTCTTCTTGAAAAATCCATCTTCTTGATTATTGAAGTAGAACTTCCTCATCAAAAAGGACTAAAGAAAAGAAAAGTTGTCAGCACACTGTCGTTCTGAATTAATGGAAACAACAGCTGTTTTATGTAGATAATAAGACAATAACTTGTGCATTAGTTTTAAATGATTAATGAAATTCCCCACCTGTTTGGGAATGTATTTTCCATTTTCCCTGAGGATTCTGCTTCGGATAAGAACCTGGCTGGATTTGGAGATGAAACGAAAATAAATGTTTGTAAATCCACTCAACTCAGTTTTTTCCTTCAGAAAACCCAAATTCACTCATTTGTTTCTCAGGCGGTCCATTGAGGATTTTAAAACTGTAATTATTCAGCTAACTCAAATGTTAATAGTATATTGTATTAAAAGTTTACATTTTGTGATTTTGATAGGCTGGTTTATCATAATGTACACTGCCTTCAATCCTGTATATTTATATTGTGTATTCAATTGATAAACTCGATGGATATATATAATCATTGATATATATATATTCAATGTTTTGTTTACCTTTTATGTTTATCTTGTACTGCCGATATGTATATATTTTATTATTATTGTGCTACATGCAATCTACATGCTACTGTCATGAAACATGTTCCCAATGTGGGATCAATAAACTATATCTAATCCAATTTCAATTTGTTTTAAAAAAAATAATAAACTCAACCTTTCAATTGAGGATTACCTACCTGTCAGAAACCTGTTCTAACGTCAACTTCTTGTCACTTTGAAGGAGAATGGACACATAATGCCGTATCACCCCGACGAGGAAGGTGATGAAGACAATGGGGAGCACCACCCAGAGTCGGATGTTGGAGTCCAGCAGCAGCTCCGGCTCAGCCATCCAGCCTGCTAGCTTAACTGGAGAGACACAGACAGACACAGCAAAACCATTATTTCAGTACATAGCAGTCCAGTTAAACACAGTTTCTGTTTGTTTTAAAATATTAAAATGATGTTCTATTGAATTTAACGCATTTTTATTTTAATAGTTTGCTAAATTACTAATATGTAGGCAGTAGCAAGCCACCACCGAGCCTCGTTACCACAGAGCTGTCATTTAGCCGGTTTAGCTAGCTAGCAGCTAACGTAATACACGTTAAACAACAGGATTTAAGCTCCACCTCACAGAGTAAAAACGATCTGCTCTTTCATAAATCAGGAACAGTCAAGTCTGAAACTACCACCGATTAACACAGTTTAACACAAATCACACTGAGCTAATATTAATGTTAGCCAGGCTACCTTCTTCCTGATACCCGGGGTCACGGTCGGTGGTAGCAGGGAGTCTCTAACCGCAGAGGAAACCACTTGCTGTGATTTTATCCCAGCTGAGAGGGACGCGAAACATACGCTGAGCGACTTAGTTCAATTAATTAAACAATATTTAATAGTTCGCATCCACTGCTGCGGCCATCGCCCTGTGGTGTTGAATCCAGGGATGAGAGCAGATTTCTGCTTCTGCGGCTCAACCGCATCTCACCCGGACTGCAGCGCCACCCCGCGGTGATGGGTGGGGAGGAGTGTGCCCGGGCCAGTGTCTCTATTATGAGTCTTGAGCTGCAGCCTTAGGTCCATCTCAGGACAGGGCTGAGAGCATCAGTGGTGGAAGAGGAAAACTTGTACCTAAGTAAGAACTGTAATATCAAAGTGTATAAATATCTTGCTTCAAGTAAATGGTTCCCTTTCAAAGACAATCAGAGCCAAGGCACTAGAAAACCCTTACACAGTTGACTTCACCTTAAACTTTTACTTTTAATTTTAAATCGTGTTTACTATTTTGAATTATGTTTATAATTATGTAATGTTTACTGTTTTGTATATGTTTACAATTTTGCTTGTTTGTTTTGTGTATTTTTCTCATGTTTGTGTGTTATTTTAAGTAGTATTTTGTTTTCTTTGCTATTAATAATTTCTTGTACTTGTATTGTAAACTGCCTGGGAGTTGGAAAATATGACTCTAATAACATGTATGTATATATGTGACAAAGATAAAATCCCTTAAATCTTTTGAGTCCTGAATTTTTGCTTTCAAAAATGTACTTTAGTTAAAATGCTAAAGTTGTATATATAAAGTACATAAAGTATTCTCCTATTAAGGGGTGACTGAGTTATTTGAATTCTTGGTAGACAAACCTTCGCCAGTAAAAAAACGATTTGATACTGGTGGTGGTTTGGAGCACTATTTTTCACTCTCCTCCTCTTGTGGAAATCCCTGGCAATTTCTTCTATAAAGGTAGAAAGAGTTAAATAATTGGAATTGAAAGATAATTATTTGAATTATACATCATCATTTAATAGTATAGGCCTATGTTTTGTATTTAACTTAAGTATGCGAAATAGTAACTAGATTGAATCAATATGTATTAAACGTATTTTTATATTGCATATTCAACTTTAATATTCCTATTTTCTTAGTACAGTGGATGTTATGGTATATATAGAAATATGTCATTGTTCAATCTTCTACTTTAATATGTTCTCTTTCTGTTTACTGTGTCCTCCCGTCCAGCGGGGGGCGGTGATTCAACATGTTTGGTAGCAGCCTTAAAAGCCGAGAAGAAGAATCTTCTCCTCACTGGAAAAACTGAAAAAAAAACGAAAAATCAGTTTATTATCCTTCAAACGCTCAGATGCGACAGTCTTCGCTATTAAAACGGTATGTAACACAAAAATA